AACAAAACTTTACGACAAAAGAGATGATTTCAGCTTCCCAATTGTGAACTTTCCACTTTCTATGTAGCAACATTGCAGCAGCGCCAGCATACGGAATATATATTTTCCAGTTGATACGATTTTCCAGAGCTTGTATTTCCTATCATGATTTTCTTGGTAGAGTGTTGGGGCTCACAAGAAAGCTGTTAGACCAAAAGCTCCAAGTGATGAAGTTGAAATCATCCCTTCATCAATTTTACGGACGCCATCACGAGTTGGTTGGCCGTTATGGAATACCCGTTTCACAAATGACGACGGATATGTTCCAATTGTCGTACCCAAAATCCCGTCCTCTTTTCTCCGAATGTGACCTACCAAATTAGAATATCACCGGGTTGGTACTTACATTAGCAACACGACGAGTGCAACATGTGGAGCAAAATCTGTTTACCCTTCTTGAGCACCTGAGATCACCACCAGCTTTGTTGGGGTTCGTGTTGCTCAGTCTTTAGTTTTCTACGTTGTATTTTGTGCACTATTGTTTGTCTTTTGGACTTTTTCTTCTTTTTTTGCCATGGCGTTGTCAGTGCATTTTCCACTTGTGAGTTTGAATGTCCCTTTGGTATCTTTCGCCTCTCTCTTTGGCAATAAGTTCTTTAGAATCCTTTTTTTTTTTATCAAATTCGTAAACAATACAAGATATAATTATATTGTGCAATGCTTAATAAAAGTAGGCTCTGGATCAAATTTGTAAATATCAAAACTATTTTTTATTATTTCTTAAATTTTATTTTCTAATTGACCTATACTTAAATTAATATCACATCAAAAAAGCCAAGAGACATTTATTTAGTTTAGATTAAATATAGGTATAAATAAACTCATCATAAATACCAGAATTGAAATTTTGTACTTGCGCCAGACGCGCGTTTCGTCTACAAAAGACTCATCAGTGACGCTCGAATCAAAAGAAGTTAAAAAGGCCATATAAATTACGAAGTTGAAGATCATTGAGGACCATTTGATCCATTTCTTAAACACTGAAAGGCGAATGATTCTTTGAATGTATTTTTCCTATGTGAAAAGACTTCATTGAATTATATCTGGGACATAATATATTTATAGTAGTCCCAGATTATACCAATTTTTTTTATCTGTAACTCACCTGTCAATTGGTAACCAGTTGCCGTTTTGTCTGTTGTGCGACAACCAATTTCAAATTGTCGATCTTCATAGGCATTATCATGTAACTGTAGATTTTAGATACTGCTGATTCATCCGGGCATTTAAAATTGAAAGGTTGGTACATTTTATTTACCCATCCAGAACAAATTCCAAGCAATATCGCAATTATGGGTATGTCACATATTCCAATATCATTTTTCTTTCCTTTGGCGATTGAGAAGACAGAAAAGTCAAGTACAAATAGTATAATATGAACAACGATAAGTTATTGCATTGCTTTTATTGATTTCGAAACAAACAAAATAAAAGTCCAAGCATACTGCACACATATATTGAAACAAAATACAAAAATAGCAAAGTAAATGCGGAACTCTGGAAATATACACGTTTTCGTCGTTTTGTCTTTGGAAAATCGTTTTCTCATTGACAAAATGTTTTTTTTTATTATGACACAAACACTGAAATTCAAAAAAACATCAACGCTAGAAAAAGTTTTAATAAATCAAGCGAAAAAAATATTGACCGCTAGTCGGTTTAAAATTTCTGCTTAGTTTAGATGCTATTTTCATATACTAACCGTTTATCACTGTATACATTTTGAAGATTTATTACAGCGTACAAAATTAGAACCTTAAAAATGGCGGTCTTCATGGTATACACAGATCTTGAACCTTCTTATCTGTGAAATTTCTTGTGACTTTAAGAACTATATATTGTCGTTAAGTTGATATAACTTTAATACACTACTTAGCAGGTCACGTTCAAGAACCATATTCATAATAAGTTATTTGATCGACTCGAGTCTAGACAAAGATGTTAAGTATTTCAAAAGAATTGAAAGTTCAGAAATCAACATCAAGTTTCCAAGTTAAGCAATACAAAGGAAGACGAAATCTACTGACAAGAAATATATACTAACATTTGACCTTTGGTAGGAGAAACAAATGCTGATAACTAAAGGTTAATGACACGAGAAAGGCAAGGTTAGTTATGACAATCATAATGAATTGGCAAATAAATGTTAACAACTAGGGAGAGTTTAAAACCAAACAATAATCTTTGAAAGAAAACATCACCCAATTAGTTCATTTTGTAATTGTATACGGTGTAAAACATCTAAATTCGTGTTGAGCTTTGACATTTATTTCCTTTAGTTAACCTGGCAAGTAAAGCTCAGAATATCAGTCGAGTTTTAATGTCTGAAGTTTGAATTTCGGAATTCAGTATCGAATATGTACATTCTAGTTGGAACTTTCGAGATTCGAAATTCAACATCTGAAATTAGTGATTCGATACAAATGTACAAATCAACCACCAAAAGACTGCTTTAAGATGTAAAGCTGTGTAGGCAGGCATATAAAACGTTGAAAGTTTAACTGTATAGTATCAAGTGATATAAAAAATATGGTCAAAGAAACACAAACTCATCTTTACAGAAGAAGAACGTAAATTACTTCTTTATTTTGCCGTCGTTTTTGCCGATATGTCTATAAAGGAGGTGTGGATCGTGATATGGGGAAAGGAAATTCCAGATTAGTTGCCGATTTGTACGTGATTTTAAAAGTATTCATTAGAAAAAAGGACATTGTTTATCCGTCTCTGCAACGTTAATGCAATTGAAAAGAAGACAGACTGTCAAAGAATCAAAGTATCACTGACAGATCAAAAAGGTTAAATGAAAGAATATACTTTGAATCCATTAGTTTTCGTTGGTACCAATTTTTGTGGATTCAGAAAAAAAAATGTAATCGTGATTACTGGATTTCGTCGTTTTAAAATATTTTGCATACACTCCATTTGGAAATTATTATATGTTCGTAGTTCATCTATACTCAGGAAATCCACGAAAACTAATACAACACAAATAATAATGACATCGCAGTATATAAAAACAAAAGTCTTCAACCGCTATGTTAAAATGAATTTTTTGCTTGTATTCAAACGCAACTAATGAGATTTATGTAGAAACGCACGTCTGGCATACAAAATCATAAGCCTGCCTGTTATCTTTTTTTTTTTGAGTTTACATACAACAGTTATACAGACTACATTATCTTTTTAATAATTAGCTTCAATGCAATGTGGCATAACTCTTGCAAGAATTTTCAAATTAAAATTTCATTAACTAAGACCCATGTCATTAAATAAGCAGCACGTTATAACATATACTCCTATTAAGTATGAATACTTCAGACCTTCAAAGTATCACAGGATTTATGTTTTTGAAACGTGTAACACATACAATAGTAAAACAAATCTCAAAAAGTCTCAAAACCTCAACAAAAATTGTCCAATCAACCTAACTAACTAGTAACAGTCTAATTTATAACAAGATAATTTACGAAAAACAAATATGACAGACATGAACCAACGACAACCACTGGACTACATACATGCTCCTGACTTAGGACAGCAACTTAAAGAATGTGGCGGGGGTTTACATGTTTGTTAGCCCTCAACCCCCTTGCTGGGACAGTGGTATTACAACACAACATAAGAAAAAACTGTAAAAATCAGTAGCAATTGGCTTCACTCAAAAGATCAGTACAGGACACAAAAACAACAAACAATAGACACAAAGCATCGATATAAGAGTACTCGCATTGATTGAAATCTAGTTCAAAGCCAATTACAACTTATAAATGGTCTCCCAGAGTAATGATCAATCAGTATACATCCAACATATTTACTGTAACAGTTTGAGAAAGCCATGCTCTCGTTCAATGCCCAAATGTAAGAAAACAGTGTCGACAGAATTTAAGATGTACATAGATAGCAATATATATATTCAGTTATGTTTAATTTTTCAAAAAAAAAATCAATGTTAGTACCCGTAAAACGATATTTAAAGATTTAACTACTGCGATAAATAGATAACTTTAAGAATAAATTTATTCAAAGAATAAATTAGTTTGCATGGATCGTATCCAAATTTACGAGCTCTATAAAAAATCACTGTAAAAATAGGATGTAATATCCCGTTTTTTTATAAGAACTCTACAGGCACAGCCAAACTTCCTGGCCAAAATCTGTGCATCTATGAACAAATTTGTTAAAGGTTTTAAATAATTCCTGGTAACGAAATCCCTGACTTAATAATTTACCAGTTATGCATGAACTACGTTCATTGAAAATTAATACGGGACTACACACTCGGGTATAGCGAACACGTTGTGATTAGTTGTTTATATCATTGATAATATATACATGTAGCAAACCAATAAATCGAATGGGCACCTTTTATGTGCATCAATCATGTCGGATGATAGCATCGAAACATTAAAGCTTTAATCAGAGGTAACGGAGAAAAAATCTATCTAAATGTCAAGACAAGTATAAGCAAGCCAATTAATTTATGTTTGTTCAATTTTCTATGAAAAACATTTTGGTTAAATACAGGTTTAGCAGGTTTAAGGCTAAGCAAGCAAAAATAAAGCAATAAATAAACAAAACCCTTTAACACTTGGAATACAAATCTTTAAATGTCGTACAATGGAGCAGGTAGTAACTCCCAATTCCTAAATGAGTTGATGAGGGGTTGTACGCAGGATTTACATGTGCCGTTTAAGTGCATTGTAAAAGGCTTCACGGTGTATTTCTATAATACGTTTTACACGCATGGAAATACATTATCGTTTCTAATTCGCCAATAACAATATCTAAAGAACAAAATATATGGAAGTTCCTGGAAAAGAAGACATGCATTCATTAAGTTTAGAAATGTACCAGCGACCATTTACGGATTATTATTTTTCTTTGTCGATTACAAAATAAATCAAGTTGCAAGCAAATTTCGTTGTCCTTTAATGTAGAAATTGTATTTATGTTCTGTCTGATTACCCCAAGCGACATATTTCGAATGTGTAATCTCGGTCCCTGTAAAACAAATCATATTTTTAAATATAGTAAAAATGTAGTTGAAAATATTCCGTGTAATAAACTAATACATCACATCCTATCTTTTCTAAATTCGATGTTTGATTTGAATATTAAGCTATTTTGTAGTTTTTGGGGCAATAACATTCACTATTTTTATCATGTTCTATGTTTTGTTTTTTTTTTATTTCTTTATTCAAATCAGTGGAGAAAACTTGTTTGAAAAATCATATATTTCATCGATTTAGTAAATACATTCATACGACGTTTAGGACGTTAGGCAAATAACAATCGAACAATCTATCAAGACGATACCAGTTGCACATTAAGCATTTTGTATGAGGAAATTATCATCATGTATTTGGTAGTTGCTTGATCAATTTAATACTACACAAAAAGCAAGTAACAATGACTCTATGAAATCAATCATATGTACGCGTAAATCAAATAATACAAAGGACCAAAAACGAATATTGCTTTATGTTTGAATAATTTTTTTGTGGCAGACATGTTTCTAACTTCCTTATATTTTGATGATTCATTACACTGACGTTTTGTCTACATTTTCCATTATTCATCATGATTAAAGCTGTTTGACTTACTGATAGTTATTGTCATGACTACTAGCTACTCCTCGGAATACAAAGTTGTCTGGTGCATACAATGACCACGCATAATCTAAATGAGTTTTTGGCAACTTCTGACATTCACTTAATGTACCTGTTGTAAATACAAATAGTTATAGTTAACGATTTCCTTAATTGAGGATTGTTAAAAGAAAGCTATTACAACAACGGTTCTTTATGGTAAATGTCATATATTTAATGTCTAACTCATGAATTAGTACTGAAATATTTCATTTTTCGTAGTCAAAATATGACCTGACATTATTGAATATGTTCAGCAATAAGTCATTACATAAACATGTATAATCTGTACAAAGATCTTGAAATTGACAATTGATAAAGACAGTTTGAATAGTTCCTTTCAAAAGTATAAGGAAGGTCCATTTCTTCACTACCGGCCTTTGGTACATTTACAAGATTTACGGACTCACGAACCTTTTCATTTTAAATTATGTGATTCGGGCTATATATTTCTTGGTCTAGCAAACATTTAAACGAAGTCCCATCGATCAGGCGAGATAACTTTTAATCATGGTTTCCGTTGAGAATGATTCAAATTCACAATAGATAAGGAATTTCAATTAATTGCAGACTTTAGGTAGGTTAATAGAAATGAAATAAGATGCCTAGTTTACTGACCGAAAACAGAATGAAAAAATGAAATAAAATGATAATTGAAATCATTGACTTTTGCATCAAAGTTATTACATTACAAAATCTTACACTTGCACCATTTTATTAAACGATCTATTAAATTTTTAATCTAACTTGAAAATTTTAAAATACATAATTTGTCGCGCATTCAAATACCTTGGAAAGAACAACAGTAAAATTTCCATCTTCTATCTTCTGCTGTATTGTCATGAATACTCTCCATTCCAGAGAGAACCGATTGGTTTGGGCACTGAAATTCAAACATTTGCTCAAAGGAGTTGACATAATCTGCAAAATGAAAACAATATGATGTATTTATATATTTTAACTTGTCTTAAATAGAAACATTAGTGCAATACACTAGCTTATCTTCTACAATTAGGAAGTTCAGCTCGAAAACTTGGATCGATTTGTGAGTGTCCTATTTCTCTTATGGTCAACACTTTTATTGAGTTGAATTAAAAATTCTGCGATTCGTTGATGTAATCTTTTGCACATACGGGCATGACGTCATTTGTCCTGTTCCGGCGTCAAACTTCGGCATCATCAGACATTTTAAAACTTTTTTGTACTCATCATAGTGTAATAAAATTTGATAAAAAGAAGATGAAAAGTGTGAGTGTTTTGTATATGATTGAAGAAATCCTATATGCCTGTGGCGTGGACGAAATGTACATCTTCTTAACCTCTGAAAGTTATCAATGACCCAATGAATAGCCAATGGAAAGGTCGTAATATCGTCTCATGATGCTGGATAAGCCAATCAAATTAACGCAGTTTTCCTACCACTTTTTCGTATCACACTCCGTACAGTGTGATACGAGAAATATCTCTTCATGCAAGAAATAGATAACATTTCGCAACCATAAGAGAAATGTATTTTCCAACTGGTGAAAATATTGTGATAAAAAAAAAAACAATAAAATAATGTAAACTCTCATTTTCTTGACTTTGTTTTTGTCTTAATATTCCTTTATGTTCACACGCTTGTCCTGATTTATAGCTATAAATGTATTGTAACCCAGAAATGAACTTTCGTTTTATTATTTCGATAATATCTTAATGATACCAGCACAGTCCACTTTCTGACCTTCCATTTGTCCGTATCTTTCACTTGTGTGGAAATTATCAGACGAATCATAATATTACTACATGAGCGTAATTAATTATTTTCTGAATCACCAGTGTGCATGTATTCAATCTGTAGGTAAGCATTTGTAAAATTATCACAGTCATGTTTAAATGCACAAAAGGAAAAAATAAAGCTTCCAGGAACAGTAACAAATCACAAAAGAACTATTGAAGAAATAACCAGATGAACATTTTTTTCAGAAGAAACCTTTCTTTAAAAACATATAATTATAAGTTTTAAAAGCATCGAATCAATAATCTCACCAGTCCATTGACATCCGGAAGATGATTTTCGAGTTGGTCGACAAAGTATCTCAAATACCCTATCCTCAAAATAATTGTCATGTTTACTGTTAATTTCATAAACAGCTGTACCAGTGGGACATTTGAAATTCAGTTCTTTGTCCATAGCATTCATCCATCCATGAATAGTGCCGATTGTCAATGTCAGAAAATAGACAAGGGTCGTTGACATTTTAATGGCTTGCGGTTATACCTAGAACAGTATTTTCTTCATGAAATATCAAGTATTAAACTGGACATTAGTTCAAAATTCTGTACCTCCGTGTTTATACTGCTTGTTTTTAAGTTAAAATTTAATGTTTTATAAAAACGTATTTTCGAATCAAAGATTCTGTGATTTTGCCTCGACAAATGACGTGATGCACAATGTGTGTACAGGTCAAGAGGTTGATTTAACTATACTTACCGTTTTGGTACTATTATATATAGAAACAAGATTGGAAGAACGTTTATTTTCACGGTTTTTTTATTTCATGAAAGTGATTCATTTAAGTTGTCTCCTGATACAACATATATATATATATTAGTCAACAAAAGTAACGATACACAAGTTTGAACTCCAATTTATCATAAAGTATAATAAATAAGAAAAGCTGTCAAATTATCCAATGAAAAACATTCATTTGCAAAGCAAATGCATATGATTAAAAGAATCTGACCAAATTGGAAAGTGAGAAAATACCGTGACATTGAACACAGGGGTCAAATTTATTTTGCGGAAAATGATGACAAAAGTCGGCACTTAATTTCGAAGATGAGAATTAAGTATTCAAATATCTGCAAAAGCATTCAAAATTTTAAGCAAACCATATTTACTTTTAAAGTTTTAAGTTCTAATATTGATTTTTGAATTTTTGGGTGAAAATAGGGATTTTTGAAATAACAAAAATTGCAAAAAAAATCGCGTATTTGCCTTAAATCAATGGTTTTGATAAGAATATAACACTCTGTAAATATTAGACTAATTGGGCAATTATTTACCTTGGTACAGTGTATCCAATTTCATTATATATGGAAATACATGGCATTGTATCATTTCTTTTGTTGACTAGTATACTATCGTTCGTTTCATAGCCCATAATAATCTATATTGAATATTGAAATTTAGAACCAACCATTTTCGAATATAGGTATGGGGACTTAAATTTATTAAATGACTTTTTAAGTCCATGCCGAAACACCTGACCAGTGAATTCTGAATGAAACATTTATATGACGCAGTGTTATTTGTCAAAACAAATGCAACAGTCTACGAATAGTTTTCTTAGTGGAAACATTCGTCCTTATTTTTACTGTAAATTATCAATAATGAACAGTAGACATTGATGTGTTATGACGAAACATTTTCAATATATATACACTGCATTCTACAGAAATTTCAACATGTCGTTATTATCATTACTCTCTAAACCAAGGAAACAATTACTTACCTCTGACCTAGACGACAAACCAGAAAGAATGTACGATAAGTATGGAATACATATACAAGAAAGCGATAAGCTTTGCAATACTTGAAAAGATATCTGACATTAACAAATTCGTGGAAGGACAGAAGCGTCAAAAATTTACAGTGAATTACAAAATATTACAAATGACTATAAACAAAACACATAAATTCTTTATTATGTTGCTTGAACTATTTTTAAAACGATGCTGGCTGATTTGAAATTTCAGTCAAAACTAAAGATAAGATATTTCAAGTATTAATATCTTATCTTTAGTTTTGACTGAAATTTCAAATCAGCCAGCATCGTCTTAAAAATAATTCAAGCAACATAATATAGAATTTATGTGTTTTGTTTATAGTTATTTGTGATATTTTGTAATTCACTGTAATTTTTTTGACGTTTCTTTCCTTCCACGAATTTATTAATGTCAGATATATTTGAGTCTAATTGTTAAAATTCGCAATTTGTCTTCTGAGTGTTCTTCGTTTCTTCTTTTTTTTTTGTCTACTTTATACTAGCACATTACGTATCGTTGCTGAAAGGTAATCAGACTGCAAAAGTACCATTCGCCTGGTATCTAGAGATTAACTACTGATATGATTTAATTGATAATATTATTTCAAGAATGATTAATCATATAAGTCTATCAATACCATAGCACTAGTTTACCTAAGACGGTTTAGGCTGTTTTCTTCAGAACGTTTTATTTTAATGCCCTTAAAACGTTTATTTACATATTACTATATGTAATCATTATTATTATTATCATTATTTTTTTTTTGCTTTAAAATTTCGATCTCTTTTACAGTGCGACTCTCGGGAAATTTATGAGAGTGTTTGTTATATTTCTTTTTCAGATATAATTTAATGTGTTGATATTATTCTGCAACTGTGGTCCTTAACGCAACAATGTAGCCTGAATGACATATTGTAATTTATTCCATTCAAACCTATGAAATGTGCCATCTTGCAGTGAGGTGAGAGTTGCTGTTCCATGTTGAAGGATAAACGTGACTTTGAGATGAAGAGCATTCATACATGTGTTTGCGGTAAACTTTTTCTATGGTATTAATACATTTAAAAATGATTAATCTTTTTTGAAACTATGATATAACTTAAATCATGTCAGCACATTTGAGATGAAGAACATTTGAGAATGCAATTTCAATAACTGAGATATACGCATAATTCTAAATACTACAAGACTAAAGTAATCACTGTTACTTTGGTGTTTCCTCGGCGTAGTTAATTTTTGTGTCCTTAATTAATTAACTTTATCCTTTCCTTTCCATTTGATGATTTGAACTTGGTCATTCCCAAAACCAGTGTCGTGCTCACAATCAGTTGCATACAGGTTTTTTTTTATAAAGACTAGGTTAATGTTGTCTTACGTCCGTATATATTTACTGCTTATTCTATTGTGTATGTTTACTTTTAGAAAGAGGGAACTAACTTTTGCGTCGCTGATGTTTTCTTGTACTCATTTGAATCAAAATTGTTAATAAACCGCAAAGCCTGAATGAAACAGCAGTTAACTCTACATTCAGGTATATTGATGAAGACATTTCATTTAATAAATTTTTTAAGAGAACGCGCATGTCTCATATATGCCGATGAATTAGAAAGTAAGCGTGCTATAGACGCAAGAAAGTCTGCTTCAAAGATTTTTTTCTCTTAAAAATCTTTCCTGAGGGACATCTAAAAACTAAGTCCTACGAAAAATGCGATGATTTTATATTTTCATTTTTAGTAGTAACATACCCAAGTCTGTCAAGTTTACGTATCTCAGTCAATACGATATGCTCTCGATTACTCACAGTTATGCATTTCAATAACTGAAATATACGCATAACTCTAAAAACTACTCCAGCAGAGTAAGATGATGATCGACTGACATTTGCTACTCTTCAGGATAAAAGAGAGCCAAAGATACAAAAGTGACACTCAAACTCATAAACCGAAAAAAAACTGCCATGGCTATAAACGAAAAAGAAAAACAGACAAAAAACAGTACACCTAACACAACATAGAAAACTAAAGACTGAGCAACACGAACTTAGTGCAACCCCGATTTAAGGATTTGTTCACGTTGCTTATACTTCAGTTTTCGGTGTACTGTTTTGATGTCTATTGTTGTATGTTCGTCTTTTTCCTTTGACCATTGTTGTGTAATCTTTCTTCAATTACGTTTTTGATTACCTAGGATATCCTTTTTTATTTTTTAACATGAGGGATTATAAGTATTTATCCCCTTCGTCTTTTCATAGAATTTCGTCCACATTTATTAATTGATTTTCTCATTCGTCATACGAACCTTTTTTAATATTCTATTGAGCTGAACATCAGTATGTTCATCAAAATAGTAGCAATCCTTTTAATTCAAAATCACATTGAGTCCCTGACGTGTTAAGCCAAATAATAGCAATGAAGGGGAGTTGACACAGTATCAAATGAATTAACTGTTAACGCAAAATTGAACGGTCAATGTTCCGTTGTAACTAGTTTTGTTGGTGATGACGTAGCTATAACGAAACCTATTAAAAGGACTTTTAAAATATCAAATATCAAATGAGTTTCAGATGAAATGCTTTGTTTTTTTGTCAACGACACAGTCTGTTTGTGTTGTCCATATTTGTACTTCATTTGAGATATGACAGGAAACGTCGGTATACTTTTCAGAACGTTTGAAAGTGATTTCCTGAAAAATATATGGCGATAGTTTGGGAACACATTTTCAGGATCAAGTTTTTCTCTAAAATAAGCACACATGTATATGTACTTATTTCAAAAGGTAAAAGAAACATTATAATACAAGAACTTTGTAAAGGTCAACAAACTTAATTGTGTTTTGCCTGTATACGAAACTTCATACAAGTTTGTATGACATTGAATTTATTTTTTCCCAGACGCACATTAATCAGAGCTTTTAGATAACCCATCATGGTTGTAGTTTTACCGACACGATCAGTTTTAAAAAATCCTAGGTCCAAAAATGTCAATGAAATTAAAACAAACTACCAGCTTGAAACTCTTTTTCTCTAGAAAAAAAGCACGGTAATCCATGAAGAACATAATCTCAAAAAGGATAAAAATGACAAGGAAATGTGAAATTGTATCGACACACATTCATACAAAAGACTTCAATTTCGTCTTTTTTCTCGATCAAAAACGTTACTGCATTACAGTTTAATATTTTTTTGTTCGTTTTTAAAATGCTGACAAATGTTACATGTGTTAAGACGTAATAATATTATTGATAAAATAAACGAAACATGTAAAAAAAAATAGCTTTTTTTATCACTCGAATTTTCCCATAACTGACCTACATTTTTCAACAAATGATATGCAAAATTAAGTTTCATATGTGCCTGTTGATGTACTTTTGTTTCCTTAAATTTACCACTACCTTATATTTGTGAGAAATATAATCATATTTTAGCTCACCTGTACAACTTGGAAACTTTTCCTATAGCTTAGTTTCCATAATGACCTCTGCTCTTAAAAAAAGTTTTATTATTATAGCAGAACAAGAAAGAATATACTATTGGGAGGTGGTGTTGGTTCAAACGAAAGTCCTGCGCTTTCAGATCCTTAATTAATTTTCGTAATAAGTGTTCCTCAAATACAATATTCTACAACAACATATTAAACTTTCTTTAAATTGTTTTAAAAAGAAAGGTTGTACACGCTAAACATTGATTTGATGGCTGTTTGTAAAATTAGAAAAAAAACTCTTTGAGGATATCTTTTAAAAACATTGACGTGAATTATTCAAACCGATTTTTTTAACATTTTGAGTCTGCGAATGAAACAAATACCGAAATTGGTCCAAACGCATTATATTCTAATAATAACAACATGTTCTCCACTTAGATTGCTATATGTAATAATAACAAATTTGGAGTATTAATTGGTTTGAGTATACCCATTAATACGGTTAATACGACAGAAAATTGTATTTACTTAGATCATCAGCATAACGAATAATAAAGCTGGTCGTCCTTTCCTGTGTGCAGCAGAGATCAGAGGTTTCCTTTCTCATCAGTCAAACTGTATATCGAAGTTTATTATTTAAACATTAGTTTTTGTAAGAAGTTGTAAATAAAAACATTATGATTTGGAGTTTGTGTTTAAGTTACCATTAAATTTAGCCACTTGACAAAATATGTGCGGTAGTTTTGGTCGTCTGTCTTAGTATTCATAATATGGACATGGATAAGAAAATATGATTCTAATGCAATACGGCTCCAACTGCAGCTCGTAAAATTTCCTTCTGTTGTAACAATTCTACAAGAAACGTCAAATATTCGATCCTTTGCAGCGCTGTCATATGTTCCTTTGATGCTGGATATAGCAGTGTTATTTGGACAGATAAAGGCAAACGCACGGTCAAAGTCATTAACTACTCCGCTCTCAACTGGTGCATTCTGGAATGATACCGTCAGATACAAAAATAAAGTTATCTTCATTTCCTTAGCTTTCTAAAAAAACGTAGCAGTAATTATTGGAAGTTGTCTCCTGATCTAAATATGAATTATCATGATAATCTTGTACTCAACTGTGTTTGAATAAACTTAAGTTTGCTGGATACCATAATTTTCTTTTTAAGACCTTAAAAATCTTAAGTAACTCATGTAATATCCGTTTCGCATATGACGACTGAAACATGCATGTACATAGCATTATTTTCGTAGTGTGAAACACTTTTGACATCTTACTGCATATTGCTTTCGTGTAGCCTTGATTCAGTCCATCTTTCCTCGCTTTATGCATCATCGAAAGGCTACTTGTCATAGGATATTTGCCATTAGCAACACGAGGAGCCTCTAGATTTATTGAGATGAACTGCTTATTCGCTTGGAGCATTTAAGTAAACCCCAGCTTTTGGTGGGGTTTGTGTTGCTTAGTTTTAAGTTTTCTATGTAATATCTTTTTTTTTCGATTGAAGCATGTTTAGTGTGCTCTCGATTTGTTCTTCCTTTACGACTATTTAAGTATATGTTTAAGAAATAAAACACATACAAATGTATGTTAAGAAAACTTCGACTAACGTAGACAATCGTCTTTTCTTTTAAGTTCTAGATACATTATGTTTTATAAGATAGGTTAAAGATAGAAATCTTATCTGCATACATTACTTAAAAATGTTATAAATTGGTACCATTAACACCAGAGCTAAGTAAACATCATTACTTGAATTATAACAACATATTTGAGAATTAATATATACATATCAATACTTCTTATTGTTCAGTTTATAGACAATGTTTCCATGAAAATTATGAAATCGATTCAAATAATAATCCACTCTATATTGTACGTCAATGTTTTGCATTCTATATTCACCTAGTTGCTATACAGATATACGATACATATGTTTATCGATTTACTGCTAACATGTTCAATGAGTATTTCTAAAATATCTTTATTCAGTAACATGACCAAATGTTTTAAGTCATATATAAACTCGAGATAAACAGTATGTTATTATGTCGCCTTGGGAGTTCCATACATTTTTAATTGACTGTTAGTATCTATATATCTATATTTAAAAGACATTAAGATTAACTACTTCGGTGTTTGGATATTTTCCAAAAGTTTGAACATGATCGTTTTGGAAATGGCGATATAATATCAAAATTTGGTAAGCATTAACTGAATGATAAAGAAGTTCCATATATGTTTTTATACACTTCGTTAAGTACATATTATCAAAGAGAAAGCTGAAAGATAAGTCGACACACATAGTTTGATATGTATAATCGATTGGTTTGTATTGGCAAATCAAGTGTTTCCAGTTTCGTTTTGAACACAATCATATGGCAATCTTTCATTAACATTTTTTTAACGAAAATAACATATGCATTTTGTCACAAATGATTACGTTAATGAAAAAGCTGTATTTGGTTGCATTGTGAAAGCTCTAATATTTAATTTTGTATGCAAATTACTGTAAATGTGTTGCGTATATATTTGCACTAAAAGAGGAAGTGCAAATGTAAAATGTTGAATCAATATATTGCTTGTATGTAAATTTATTTTTAATACGACAATTAAAAAGTCCATCTTGTTTATCAATAACAATACATTTATGGCATATTTAAAAACAAAATGGTTTGCAACTATATTTTGATATGGAATTTTTATGCCAAAAGGAATAGTATTCAACAATTACGTGTAAATAGATTATTACAGTACAAACATTGTCTAACATTGCTCAGTCTTTCCATCTTGATTTTGTATAGTGTTGTTTGTTTGTCTTTTGGTCGGTTTTTGTTATGGCGTTATCAGGATGTCATCGACTTATGAGTTTGAATATTCCTTTGTTATCTTCCGCCTCTGTATTACGGTGTTTGTTGGTGTTATATTCATATAACTTAAAAACAAAAAATGATCAGCACGCGCAAACAAATGCATATTCAATACAAACGTTTAAATAATTAAATAAAAATAACAAATCCCAGGGTAGCGAAAGGATGGATAGTAATTATGAAAGTGCAGGAAAAGTAAGGTATAACGGTTTCCAAACAATAAGGTGTAATGGGGTCCAAAATTCACATTTCTGTATGGAAATTGGCTCAAGGGTCGACCAATTTGAGCACCGTTTCAGCGTATTCTTATATCAAGCACATTAGTGTGTCATGATAAATTAAGTTTTTAATATACACTCATGTCATTCTGTATGTCGTCGTTTTTTTCTTTTTCAAAAAAATTTCATTATATATTTCTTATTATTTTTAAGATAAAAAGTTGTCAACATGTCTGAAAACGAAAACACTTGTGACCTTTGTTATGAGGATTTCGACAGAGACAACCACGAACCAAGGAAACTGCCATGCTGCCATACATACTGTTCACAATGTTTGGATAGAATGGTGTCACGAAATGCATCTATCACATGCCCAAATGATCGTACAATTCACACATTAGGAGGTCTTGGTGTTTTCGGTTTACCTCTAGATTCATCTAAACTCGCAGGTAGGCTAAGATTCGTTTTTATTATCGTGCCTGCAACCACTTCCAAAAATTAAATTTGGTAGATTTTTGCAAATGTAGTGTAATTTTGAACATAACGAGTTGAAGAAAACCCTTGGGCCAAAAGAGGAAAAAAAAGATAAACGTAAGTCAACATTCTACCTACTATAGTCGCTACATACTATGGCAAAACTTAAAACGTCCCAATTCTTAAAAATGTGCAAATAAATTTAACAGATCCACTCAAAAATCAGCCGTCAACAACATATTCTCCAAATAAAAAAACATTGAAATTTTACAATACATGTACCATGAATTTGCGGCAGGTTTAAACTTAGTATCTTCCCTTTCTTTAGTGGTAACGAGCATTTATTTTCTGCGGTTTTGTTCTTTTTCTACCTGTGTTTTATCATCTATTATCCAGAAATACAATGATTGACCGTCGTCCGTTGTCCGTTAGACGATTCATCATCATCAATATTGCAAGAATAATATGGGGAAGGGTGTCTATGATACTTCCTCATTTCGTTCCGATCAAATGAAGCACTTGACCGCCAGAGGCGATTCTTGATTCTGATTGGTCATTATTTTTAATTTCTTCTCCTCTGAAACTACAATGCCAAATATTTACAAACTTTAAAGGAATGATAGTAAGAAGACCTTCTTTAAATTTCCTCATTTTTGCTGATTGGGTTGCATACACGACAGCCTCAGTGGCACATATGTTTCCATTAAAGCCTTTGGGAAATCATATGTTTTTCACCTGGTCTGAAACCAAATGGCGAATATTAACCAAACTTTGCAGGAATAATGTATGGCGGGTATCGATAAGAAAATACATATTTTATTCTGATTGGATCAAAAACGTAGCTGCCAGAGGCAATTCTCGATTTCAAATGTCTTCCCTTTTTAAACTACAATTGCAAATCTATTCAAACTTTATAGAAATAATGATCAGGAGACTATCCATAAAACTTCTGTTTCGTGATGATTGGAGACATACCTTGTGGCAACTTAATGTTGATATCAGTGTTTGTTAAAACGATTGGCACCTCACATGTACTCTGATATACACTTGATATATGACACAACAAACTCACCGGCAGTTCCAGTTCCGATCCGCATACTTTTCTATACTTGTCTGTACAATATATGGTTATCATTCATTCAATACTCAGTATTATTTATTCATTTGATAATTAGGTATGAATCATATCATACCATTGAATCTAAGTTTTATTTGCTTTATTTATATTGTAGACATTGATAAAAGAGAAGTAACATCTCCTGTAGGAAGTATAAACTTCAGCAGCGACTTTGTAGATCCGTCTAGACCGACCACAGCATGGTCATATAGACACGCACAAAATCATGTCAATAAAAGTCCCACACCAGCTCTATCTCACCGTGAACGATACAATATACCACAATCAACTGGCAACAATAATCACACGATGCCGTATCCCAATATGTCGTATAATTACAATACACAATTTCATGGTTTGTCACAAATTCCTATATATGGTCAGCATATAACACCAAGTGGGTGGCAGTCTCCAAATCAGTGGAGTTATCATTTCAATAATACCAGCCAGTTTCATCAGCCAATGATGACGACCTCTACAACTGTTACACAAGCTGGGAACAGTGAACAAAACATCATAGTATGTTCTCCTGATGGACAAATAGTAATAAGTCAGGGTGGAAATAACCAGTTGGTTAATTTTGTTCATTTCTAAATAAAAATCAGAATAAAGCAAATATGTGAACAATTCTTTCATACATAAATAGTCGATTTTTTAAAAATCTATGTATATAATGTATCTTATTTTATGTTTGTTTATTTGATTAACATTGGTTTTATATTTACGGTCGCTCATTTTAGATTAAAACGTTAATTATTCTTTTTTATTCGTTATATTCGGACATACCTTTTCCGTCAAATATTTGTTGTGTCAGTTGTATAAAAAACGCATGTATTGTTGTTTCTGTCTACAAAACCTTTGCATGGTGAGATTGAAGCTCAGCTATCTAGCTAGGAATGTTAGTTGAAAATTACACATAATATTTGTCTACATTTTTTAACTGCATATAACATTGTATTTAGCACAAACAGATTTAGAACTTATTCAGTCTCCTGAGTAATTATAATGTTATACAAGATCGCAACATGAAATAATTAACACTACTATATTGTGTTGAGACCAAAAAGTAAACCATTTCAGTTTGGATTCCAAGGGTGAGAGTCCAGTGTCAAATCATTACGACAAAGCTAGAAAGAGACGATGAACAAAAATGAAACACCTCCACTATAAGTAAGGATAATAGTAAGAGTACTAAAGGTCACCATCTATCATGAAAATACAAGTCAAGAGCAAAGGTGAATGTTTACTTAATGTACTAAATATCATGCTTTATTAATAAGCTATATAAGTAAGTCTATAATTTTTCATTTTTCCCATTTACTAACTAAAAACTAATGCGACCAATGATGGTAAAACATCTGTTAGTCCGTTGATGATATTCAACATAGAATGAAACAAAACACTTTTTGATTTAATCGATCAGAGTAACGGAAAGTTTTATCATGTCTTTACTTACTTAAGAAAAGTACCTTGCAAATTTCGTTTAAAACTTCTCACTGGTATATTTGTACATTGTTTGTGGACTAGAAACAACAAATCTAAAATGAATTGGAATTAAGAACCTGAACAAATCTCAAAACGATTTGAAAATCGTACAGTTAGAGAAAAATCGTCACAAATAAAGATGTTCAAAACACTACTAACAATCAGGAAACCTGAAAAATTGAAGTGTGTTAGTTGTAATTTTGCAACATACATATATTAAACGAGATACCCTTCGGCTGTTGTCTGCTCTATGGTCGGGTTGTTGTCTCTTTGACACATTCCCCATTTCCATTCTCAATTTTAATGAACATGTTTATTCCCAATATGTTTTGATATTTTATACTGAGTCACAACAAATGTTATCAAGTGAACAGTGATGACAACAAATATATATCCATCAAAATTAGTTAAACAAAACTGATTAGTTAGAAAACCAAACATCGGCCTAAGTTTCATTCGTAGCGCCCTCAAGTTAAAAAATTTTTGAACGCAAAATCGGTTAGGAAGATAAATACAAATAAATAATGGCGACAGTAGTTTATCGATGTTCAAATCTCGTAAATCGATTAGGAAGAGATAAATGAAGGTAACAAAGATATATTGAAGGAATTACAAGAACAACAAAAGCAGTGATACCGTATGGTTTGATAAGGTAAGCGTCTTCTTCTTTGCAAGCATCATCCGAATTAACACTCACTAAAAATGTCACAAACAGGGATATGACACAATCGGTAAAATCACAGATCTATACTGTTACCTAAAGATCTAAGACTGTGAAAACATGTCGCTAGAGAGTTGAGAATTCAAAACGGAAAGACCTTTATAAAATGGCTAAATCAAAACCTCAAACACATCTAACGAATGGAAAACAACTGTCATATTCCTGACTTGGTACAGGCATTTCTCTATATAGAAAATGGTGGATTAAACTTGGTTTTATAGCTAGCTAAACCTCTCACTTGTATGACAGTCGCATAGAATTCCATTATATTGACAACAATGTGTGAGCAAAACAAACAGACATAATAGGTAAAAACGTCAAAATTGGGATACAGCAGTCAACATTGTAATATAATCCTAATCACTATAAAACAAATAACTGTTTCAACAAAGAAATACGAAATGCATATAGACAAAGAACATAAGCAAATATGAAAGACAAGAACTCAAAATTGAGTATAGCACAATGGCGGGATGTATAAGTACCGATCCACGTCATAGGTAGATAATCAAAAATGGATAAACAGTAAAGGTTATAAATATACAAGGACAAAAAAGGGAACTTCAACACGTAATTAAAATGATAAACAACGTCAGTATTTAGAATCTATACTTCACGACCACCAAGAACACACCTGTTAATGAAGTCCGTATAGTTTGAACATGCACGGGCAAAGCGTATTAAATGAGATACAAACGCCATACGATGGAGAAGGGGTATGTTACTGCAGAAAAATGGGAAGTTGACAATTGGAAAGTTGCAATTATTACGTTTGTCATAGATTCTAGTTTGAAGTCGACCATCTGTGTCAACACCGATATATATAAATATATTAATATTGTTTCCCTACATAACGTCCGTAGTAGTTAAAGTTGATCACAATGTTGTAGTCCAGTTTTTCTTTCCGCTTTCATGATTTATCGTCCAATACGAAATGGATGTCATCTGATTTGTCAGAGTTGGTAGGTTCGTGTTGCTCATTACTCTTCATGGTCTTTCTAGTTCTAGTTGTCCCCTCTGTACTTTTCTTCTAATGAAATATTCAAATCTATAATATATGTTTATAGTCTCATAAGATAATCTAAATAATCAAAATAATTATGGGTATGTTTTACTTTTTGTGTACTTAATAAAAAAATATTTTACAACAAGAAATAAGAAAAACAGTAACTCTAAGTAGCATTGCATGCTTTTAAAAAAATACATGTTTATACCAAACCAAATACATCTAAGATTTTCTTCAACAAGAAGGTATAAGAGACTTCTAACCTCAAAGATGTAAAATCAAAACTATATGATTGCTTTTGTTTATCGTCCCAGTACACATATATATTTCTGGGCCTGTTTTCACCAGGGATCTTTTCATCGTAAACAATGAATAACTTGTGAAGTGTTTTGTGAATTTGTTGTTTTTCATCGCCTATCGTTGTTTTTTTTTCGCCATTGCGTTGTCAGATTCTCTCGACTTATTAGTTTTAAATGTCTCCTTTGCATCTCTTGCCTCGTTTTCAGAGAATGTTAGCCAGGTTCCAAAAATGTCGAAATAGGTTGAGTTAGGAAGTATGACGGGAACCAAATAAACCAAAACTGAACACCTGATCTGAATGGATCCAGCCTATTCCGTCATGCATTCAAGACGTCTAAAGATTGTGACTTGTTCCTTTATTCATATGAGGCTGACTTCATATAGGAACTTCTTAGTAAGAAAGAAGAAATTAGCAGTATCCTTTAACTTTACTTTCCACTATATAGATGATGTTCTTTCACTAAATAATTCAAAATTTGGTGACTATGTTGAACGCAACTATCCGATCGTAGATAAAAGGATACAACAGGTACAGTTAAGCCTGCCTCATATCTTGACTTACATCTAGACATTGACAATAAGGGTCGGTTGAAAACATAACTTTACGACAAAAGAGATGATTTCAGCTTCCCGATTGTGAAATTTCCATTTCTATATACCAACATTCCAGCAGCGCCTGCATACGGTGTATATATTTCCTAGTTGATACGATATTCCAGGGATTGTGTTTACTATCATGATTTCCTTGATAGAGGGTTGCTGCTCAAAAGGAAGCTATTAAACCAAGAGTTCCAAGTGGTGACGTTGAAATCATCCTTTCGTAAATTTTACGGACGCCATCACGAGTTGGTTGACCGTTATGGAATATCTGTTTCACAGATGACGACGGATATGTTTCAATTGTCGTTACTACAATCTCGTCCCCTTTTCCCCGAATGTGACCTACCGAATTAGACATATCACCGGGTTTGTACTCACATGAGCAACACGACAGGTGCCACATGTGGAGCAGGATCTCCTTACCCTTTCGGAGCACCTGAGATTACCTCCATTTTTTGGTGGGGTCTTACTGTATTCCTTTCACGTAGTGTTGTCATTTTAGCTTTATTTTTAACATTGCCATATAAGCGGGAGGTTTGGCTAGCCATAAAACCAGGTTCAACCCCATATTTTGTTAAAAGGTCCTGTACTAAGTCAGGAATATGGCAGTTGTTATCACACAGTCCGTTTCTATGTATGTTGGCGTTTGCTTTTGTTGTAGTTCAGTGTTTCTGTTGTTCCGTTGTTTTCCTCTTGTAGTTGATGTGTTTCCCTCGGTTTTAGTTTGTTACCCGGATTTGTTTTTGCTTAATTGAAGTATGACTATTGGACAGCTGTATACTACTGTTGCCTTTGTTTACAACAAAAAATAAAATATCATGACAATGCTGGACTTTTTAATTGACATCCTATACCAGTTGACTTATTTGTCCTCTAATGATGCAGAATTCATACAAAACCTTTCAAAGGCATCCTGTCAAATATTTCAATTTCAGTTTTAGATATACTGATATCCTATCACTCGATAGTCCTCATTTCAAGGAGGGCTTGCATCTCATATTTTCGAGTGATTTTGATATCAAGGACTACCGAAAAATGCTTTATATATTGATCATTTTCTCGAAATTGGCACAGATGGGCGATTTTTAACTAGAATTTTTGACCAATGTGAAGATTTCAGCTTTCCAATTGTCAACTTTGGATTTCTAAGCACCAACATCATATAACGTCATATAAGCTGATGCATGTTTACATTATATGGACCTCATAACCAGGGGTGTGTTCCTGATATCAAAACGGATCCAAAATAGTTATGAGAACTACTGAAGTTTTATGGTCACAATTACGGTCGCAGGTCTTCAGATACCAGAAAATAGTCACATTTTTGACTAAGTGCAGTCTTGCTTTGTGGTTGATGTATGCAGTATGTGAACGACTGAAATCAATACTTCATACGTTTTACGGTCACCATGTCGAATTGGTTGACCGATACAATGTTGATATGTCTCAACTCACTTGCGACCTGATCACACAATAGTCCTCTGGTTTGTAAATTAACTTTAAAGTAACTGATTGTGTCTTATTCCCTTATGTGACAGTTTTACTGAGTGTAGTTTCGCATGGATTGTGATGGATGCATAGCAGGAGAATCTTTCCTTTTAAGCTCCATAACGACCCATGAAACATCACTTACCTATGTGATGTAC